ATATTTGTTACTCTCTTGTAACAGCTCTAATCTTCTGGCGCTTATATGACCTTATGCAGTTGCGAGCGCCGTAAAACCTCTACTAAAACTGACTGTCTGGTCTCGTATTATGTGGGTTTTGCTGTTGTTATGGGTGGTTGGAGGGTGTCAGTGGCAGGTCTCATTTCTGTTGTTCCTGTTATTTACCAGTCTTGATTTTGCTCTTCTTTTCTTTTTTTTCGAAAGTTTTACGGTGCTCGCAACTGCAGAAAGTCATACGGGACACATTAAACATTTTCAGTTGGTAGAAAATTTTGAATTTTGCACGGGTGGCAGCCGAAGCATACTCTTACTCATCGATTTTAGACCACCAAGGGATCTTTAACGTGCGCAACTTGCACGCGAGACCTCAGAGGTTTTTCGCCCTTGTCCGAAAAGACTAGGAGTAGATCTTTCCTACCATAAGATCAAGGGTGTGGCTGAAAGACAGCTGTACTGTAAGGAGTCAAGGAGTAGCAGTAGAAAGGCTGCAGAAAGAGGAGCCCAGAGGAGGGGGCAAAGGAGGTGAGGGGGTAGGGGCAGAAAGTGGAGACAAAAGCAGACGACAGAACATTGCTAGAGAGCAGGAAAGGAGACAATTTTAGAGCAGAAAATTTTTTTCGGTTGCTACCCTGGACCTTTGAATGAGGGGCGAACGCCTTAACCTCTAGGCCACGAGATTTTTCTCTGCACTAAATGACTCATCTGAATATATACACATCTCTCAAGGTCACGGTGTGGGGTTTGCTTCTTCTTTCCTCTATTAAAATCCTTCCATATATTCTTTTTTTCTTTGTGTAATACCTCTAATTTTTTAACCCTTATATTACCTATTTGTGTTGCAAGTGGCGTAAAGCTCTTACAGTTACAGAACATTTTTTTACTCCCAACAAATAAACAAGTTAGTTGTAAATGTTTTTACGCCCCCATCGAACAATTGAGAGAGTGTGGTTGGCAGGTGCTCTGGTGTGGTTTGCTCCTTTCCTATCAAACATCAATTCGTCCTGATCTATTCTATTCTCCTTCTTTTTTGTGTTTGTTACTCTCTTGTAACACCTCAAATCTTCGGTACTTATTATATCATGTGTTGCGAGCGCCGTAAAACTCTACTAAAACTAAAACTAAACTAAAACTCTTACTAAAACAAACAAAACATGCCCCAAGACACAGACTGGACAAGAGGAACTTCTTGGATAACAAGGACACCCACCATCTGCTGTCCCCCCCCCCAAACACACACACCTTCTCTTCTTACACCCCCAGACTTCCGTGTCTCGAGACAGAAGTTACTTTACAGCAGGTACACTGTAGGCGTGAGAACCTTCTGTCCGGACTGGGACCGGCCGCAGTCGACCCGGAGACCTGCTCAATTATTCAATGAGGGAATATTAATTCCGTTCTTCCCCCCCCCACCCCCCGGTCTGTCTGT